GAACTCTATCCCTAGTCTGCCATCTTCATCTAGCTCTATCCCTGGGACAACTTTCAGAACATCTCTGAACCTCAGATTCTCTAGCTGTAGAGAAGGATAAGACAGATAGCTGTTTCAAGAGTTCAATAAAATAACAGACATAAAACACACAGAAAATTGTAGCCGCATAACACATGGCAACTGTCACCAGCAGTTACTGTCACCAACATTATCTCCATATAAACCATTATCAGTCCTCTGTCATCTTTATCACATGGGCAGGAACTGCTCCGTGGTCACTGTGGGGTCAAAGCTCAGTGGTGCACACCACCAAAGCCCTGGACTGCTGAGGGTGGGTTCTCATGTGTGTCCAGAACCCAAAGGGGCTCTGAGATGCAGCTCATGCCCCAACCCCATCCCCCGCAGAGGCATAACTGGCCACCCTGACCCCCCAAGCATCATCCTCTGCTGCTCTGTGATGCTCTGCACCCCAGCACATCCACCACCTACGTTTTCAAGTCTAGTCTAAAAAAGAAGATACATTCCTCACCACAAAAATTAAGTTAACTATAACGGCATTTGGGAAATCCAAAAATATATTTTTTAAGTGCCACATTTACTTCATTTATATATTGCTCCATACCACCAGTCTCACTGTGAAGATCCTCTTATCCCATTTTCCCCTCTGAAAAATCTTAACTACTAACACTGGCAGACAAAAATGGATCAATCACCACTGGTGCACCTGGGTGGCTCAGTCAGTTAAGTGTCCAACTCATGGTTTCGGCTCAGGTTATGATCTCACAGTTTTCTGAGTTTGAACCTCACATCGGGCTCTGCGTGGACAGTGTGGAGCCTACTTGGGATTCTCTCTCTCTCCCTGTCCGCCCCTCCCCTACTCGCACTATCTCTGTCTCTCTCAAAATAAATAAATACTTTTTAAAAAAAAAATGGATCAACCACTAAACTCTAGTAAGCACATTTTACTGTTTTCAATTCCTTTCTAGCATATAAAATTAGTTAAGTTCCTGTTGTTTGTTTCATTTTTATCAGGGTACAAGTTTAGCTGAAAAAGTAGTAGGCAGACTGAGGGACTGTGGTTTTGCAATTCATATCTTTAATGATATAACTTTCAAATCTCCTGTGCACACCACCAAAGTCCCAAGATTCCAAAGGCAGCCCTGAGCTGCTTCTGCCCCAAGTACACCTGAAGACATTCCTGAAAAGGGCCTTATACCACCGACTACGGGCAAAGAACAGCAGCACACGGTCCATGCTCTCTGAGTTCAATGTGCCTACATGGTGAACACTTAAAAGTCCTGCCTGGGAAGGAAGACTGACATAGTCATCTAGCATACTAAAATACACTTACACAAATATACAGAGATGGCTGCTTTACCAGAAGAGTCACATAAAGTAAAATCACTAACAAATTATCTTTAACTCAGGTCATGAACACAAGTATGTAACCTTTCAAACTTGAGTACAACTGCATGGTGTACAGCTACACCTGAGCACTGTGTTAAGTCAGATTAAGGCAGCACCTTGCTTAAACCTTCTGCCACTGGATTAATCAGAGGACAAAATGCCCCAATGAATAAAATCCCCATTACCAACCAGAACATATATATAAACAATAAACATTTCACAGTATAGTGGGGAAAGAGCAAAGAATGTCAACTGCCTGTCTAACTATGGAGGATTTGTTCCAGGGACAATAAAATATACATATAGGTCCTTGTCCCTGTTGTCCAGCCAGACTCCAAAAGCATCTTCCCGGGGAGGCACCTGACTTGATAAGGTAAATACAGACATGCTTAGGTTGGAGCCAAGGGAAACAAAGCACCTTCGTGTCGCAAAGACAGAAACAGCTTTTTTGAGGCCAGAATGTGGCTTAATCTTCCTGCATCACTCAGAAAACAACTGTCTAAATTCTATTTCTCAAAGCCCTGTTCAAAGGTCATCTTCACAAGAAAATCTGTGGTAAACCTCAGCCTTAATTCTTTGAACAACCCAAATCTTTCTTTCCACACTTAACTGAAAGACACATGAAGAAAGAGACATCCAGGTACACACCTCACCTTCACTGCTCGACCGTGGACTCCATCAGGCATAATCCACGACTTCTCATGCCCTGTGGTGGCAAGAACACACAGCACCCAACACATGACAGGGATACAATAAGTATCTACTGACTCAAATCATCGGTGTTTTCAAATCTTAACTGTGAAACAAAAATTTTAAAAATGTTGTCTCTCAAGAATGAAATCTGGCCATGTGTAGCAACGTGGATGGACCCTGAGGGTGTTATGCTGAGTGAAATAAGGCAGAGAAGGACAGATATCATATGTTTGCACGTATAGGAGGATTAGGAGGAACTTACCATAGGACCATGGGGGAGAAGAAGGGGGGAAATGGTGGGGGAAAGGGAGAGAGGGAAACCATGAGAGACTCTTGAATGCTGAGAACAACTCATGGGTGTGGGGGCGGGGGGAGGGAGGAGATGGGCATGGAGGAGGGCACTTGTGGGGATGAACACTGGGTGTTATATGGAAACCAACTTGACAATAAACTATTTGTAAATTAAAAAATTTTTAAAAAATGCTGTCTCTGGCCTCATGGCTAGTAACAGAATTTAAGGGCATTAAGCAACATTATAAGGACTGGAAAGAACATAGTTAAGTAAACAGAGTATATGAGATACTCAATATCACCATTCACATACACGGCATTCGCCATTTCAAAAATATACTCTCATAGATTTTTATAACCATGAAAGAAATTATTATTTCAATTTAACTACATATAAACCAATGACTTGAGTGACTTGGAGAGGACCACACCAACTAGTTAGGTGACAGAGCTAGAACTTCTTGAAATAGACATATGGAAACAAAGGAAAAGAAATGGGAGAAGACGCAGTGTCCCGGGCAATACAACAGTCCTCTCTCCTATCCATCACTATGATATCATAGTGAGTGATCACAAACCTATCAAGTCACCTTTTATGAAGAATTTATAAAGAAGAAAAAAAGGATTTGCAGTGACTTTTCACTGGCTTTAATGCAAAATTAGCCATTTTCTCACTAGAATTAGTGTATAGATCCTTAAATATTATGCTCAGTATTGTATAAATGTTTTTAAATCCAAAATGGCTTTCAAATCTGTATGTTTAAAAAAGTTGATCATCCGGGCACCTGGGTGGCTCAGCTGGTTAAGCATCCGACTTCAGCTCAGGTCACGATCTCCAGTTGTTGAGTTTGAGCTCCACATCAGGCTCTCTGCTGTCAGCACAGAACCCGCTTGGGATCCTCTGTCTACCTCTCTCTTTTCCCCTCACCCACACATGCTTGCTCACTCTTTCTCTCTTTCAAAAATAAAGTAACATTAAAAAAAATAAAGTTGATCATCACTATGCACAGTAATGCAAAAATAGGATTGGGCTTGGCAGATGTATAAAAGTATATGTATGCATACATATGTGTGTATGTGTGCCTGTGTGTATGTGCAGTAAGAAGTATTCATAAAATATTCCTTGAATAAAACCACTTTTTTATATGAAAAATTCAAATTCAAAAGAAGCTTTTTATACAACTGAAACTTCCATACATTAATGGGTAGGAGCATAAAATGGCACTATCACTTTGGAAAACTGGTGATTTCTACTGAAGGTGTATGTGCACCACATCTTGAAAATGACACTGTGCATGCACAGATCCATAAAAAGACATGAATGTTCAGAGAGGTTTAGCCATAACAGCCAAAAACTGGAAGCAAATCAAATGCTCATCAATATAGAAATGGAAAAACTGTTGCTTCTTCCTTGAATGGAAGACCAACATTAATCAAAAAGAACAAGCTAACAGCACACACAACAGGGCCGAATCTCACAAATATCACAGAGAGAAAAGCCAGACACAAAGGGTATAGGTGAATTTACATGAAGTTCACATTTACACAAAGTTCAAGCACAGCCCAACATATCTAGGTCACCTCTCAGCAGGGTGCACAGCCTGCGAAGGGGCAGCAGGTACCTGGGAGGGTGCTGGAAATGCTCTACATCTTGATCTGCTGGGAGGTTATATGGGTGACTGCACAGGTCAATGATCATTGAGATGTAAGCTTATGATTAATATACTTTACTGTATGATATACTTCAAAAATATTCTCCCTCTTTTACAATTATTCAATAGCCATATATGGACACCTGATGATGGATTCCACCTAAGAAAACAAACAAATAAGCTGCTGAACAGTGAAGCATGAATACTGTTAACATCCTATGTAAATACATCTCTTCTTTTCAATACAGTACCTAACTCTTAAACATTGCTCAATAAACACTGGTTGAAAGAATTACACAGGTAGTGACACTGTTTATGTTTTAGAAGTCCAGAGAAATCTGTATGTATGTATGTATACACAACATAATATCCTCAATATACCCAATAGATGTGAAAAACTATGGTTCTTGTCCAATTAATTACTTCCATCACCTGTGTCCATTAATTCCTTTGCTCTTGCACCTTCAAGTACAAGCAATACATTCTAGGTGTTAAACCATCACCCAGAGCAAGGCAGATGTTCACTGTGTAAGGTGAACACGACTACTTTCATTGTCTACACTGCCCATCTGACACAGGCCAGTGACTCTTTGCTAGGCATACAGGGTTACCGAAAGGGCTGAGAGCATGACACACAGGTCAGAATCATCTCATCTAACCTCTCAGCCTGGGCAGAAAGCTGCCCTGGTATCCCTGCTGGTGGGAGACCATTGCTGGGAAAGGCGAGTGAGGGGCATCCAAGAGAATGGACATGCTCGGAGAGGCACGCAGGCCACCAGGCACTGTGTCCACCTTAACACATTCCCAAGGGGGACACAGACACCAGAATCCACAGTTTCAAAAGTCTCACTTGGCAGCAAGTTGAGAAAATGAAGCAAAGCAAGTTCTGAATCCACAGGGAGGGGGTTCAAAAAGACCACAAGTGACAGACAAAAGTGCAACAAAGCCCCAGCTCACCTCGCTGTTGTGGCCCCGCAGGTTGAAGTTTATTCTCTGGGGAGTGTTTCTGTCCCGGCGGCAATGGCTCGAGGTGAAGGTCACCCCGACAACGCCGCGGCCGTTGCCTGTGGCCAGCCAGCCCTCCTCGTAGTAGCGCCGCCGGCACACTGGCTTCTCCTTCTCACTCTTGGGAACGCGCCCTTTCCATGACAGGCAAAGGATGTTGGAGTCGCTGCAAAGGACAGGCCCATGCTCCACAGCTGCATACATACTTTTTTCCAGGAAACTCTTTTACTTAAATAGTAATGCTGAATGCCAGAACACTTAAACCAATTCTTTTCATTGATTGATTGACTGGATTTTTTTTTTTTTTTTTTTTTTTTTTTGTGGTTGGCTTGCGTTGTTTCCCCAACCTGTTTTAATGAAGACTGACCTGGACCTAATCAGAAGGCCAGTATTTTATAAAGATCCACCAAATGCATAGTGAAAAAATTCCTCTAGAAAAGATGATGGCAGTCTGCTAAGAAAAGGTAATGCTTAAAAACAACATGCGTCCATTTTTATTTTCAAGTCCTTAGAGGAAGAAGAGCATCATTAACATGTGCCGATCAAGAAACTGAGTTTTCTTCTCTTTACTCAACTTGGTTATTCTCATTCAGCCTGAGATTCCAGTTTAGTGTAGTATGATTCCAGAGACAAAGGGTTGCAAATACATAGATTTCAAGTAACTTAAGGCTTTAAAGAATCCCTCGAGCTGGAATTTTCTCTTTAGAAGTTTAGATGCAGAGACAAACATATGGGATCATCTTCCTTCTGAAGCCACCCTCTGCCGTATTTTCTCAACTAGACAAATTTCTGCTGCTGAAGCTGAAAAAGATTGCATAAAGGGGAAAAAAGGCACACAAACCGTGCAAAAACAGACCAGAGTTTGTGCAGACAGCAGTCCAAGTTCAGGAAGAAAAAGACTTTCACCACTGTTCAGAACCAGAAACTTCCCACCTCATGGCCCAGCCTGACTTCCCAGCAGGCAGGTGGCTGTGTCCCGGTGGGGAGATGGGCTCCATCTGACTTCCCCCCGACAGACCAGTGCACTCCCTGGTGCCATGGAGGAGGAGAGAGAAAAACCCTTCACTCGCAGGGCCAGAAGGTTCTAAAGCTCTTTAAGTGGCACAAGTGTTTGCCTTGAGTGAATCCTAAATCCTCTTGCTGACAAAACCGAGCCTCACTACAGGATTTTGCCTCTTTCGTCTTGCCTCCTTCCTCCCTCCCTAGTTGCTTCTCCTCTTTCTGCTCCTAAAGATCACATATTTTTCCATCTTGAAGGAAAAGACTAATTCTCAGAAGTAAGTCCATCAAGTCCTATATGCAAGTCTTCTTGGACTCAACAGGGAAGAGACTCCCTTAAAATGAAAATATAGGCAAGAGTCAGGTTCTTCCACACTGTTCCCTAAAGAGTCAGCATGTTTTGCTGATGGGCGCTGTCCTGCTCACATTCAGAGACTGCTTCCAAATGCCAGCTTTGCTTGGATGTTCCTTGATATTTATTTTGTAAATACTGGCTTCAATGGCTACTTTGAAATGTTATCCTATAGACACAGAAAAGGAAAAGGGAAGTAATAAATTAAAATTTTGAGAATATAGTTAACTAAAAAAGGCAAAGAAACCAGTCCATTGTTCAAACTTGTCCCATCATACCTGACCTTGCCTTCCTGAAGTCACAACCACACAGCCAGAGTTACTTCTCTGTCCAGAGTTTTGAAGTCTGTCCAAATCACCAAAACCACTGGAAAATAAAGTGTAAAACTCACTGTATAACCCCCCCCACCCCCTGGGCTGCTTGAAGCCACCCACACTCCACTATGACCACCTTCTCACCGAGCTCTATCTTTAACCTGGGGAGGTGCTTCTGAGGCTTGAGCTGAGCAAGTTTCCTTTTCTTCTTTCTGTAAACTTTCTTCAACTGGTTGCGAAGAGCACGTGGAAAACTGACCACTAGTAACAGATTCCTCCCCCCGGGCTCCTGAGCCCCGCAGGGTCAAGTTGCTCCATCTGTGTCCGGCATTAATTTTCATCAGTTGTAAAACTCTTCAAGTGTGCACGAGAGTGAGCCTGTCTTCCTGCGTAAACGTGTATGTGTACGAAGAAGGGCTTAGATATGCACAGACATGCGCTCTTCGATGGGCACCAAAGTGCCTGTTTTCCCAGTCGTTTCAGGAACCATCCAACTGATCACAGCTTGAAGGCCCTGGAGTCTTACAGATCTGTAAAACAAAACAGGATATGAACTAAAGAATTTGAACACTAAAGAAGAGAAGTTCTAACTGAGTAACTGTCATTAACATAAACTGGGAGGCCCCCTCTTTACACGTATATACACAGATGTCAGGTGGAGCTACTGATTGCTAAAACACAAATAGTAAAAGGCACACCTACCCAGCTCACGGACAGCACACAACACAAGTGTCTGAACGCCATGTAGCATTTATTCAGTTTGCTAGTAGCTGGGCATGTCTGAATGAACTCCTCCCCTCTATTTTCCCATGCCATGACTCTGGGCCCTGCATGTGCAACTTTATCCCTCCAGGGGCCATCATCCTAGTTACAGTTACACAGACAACCTCAGAGAGGAAACTGAAGAGGTTTTGGCAAGGTATATGAATTGATTTTTTCACTATGGGTAAAAGATGTTGCCTGAAGACACAAGAAGCAAGGACCTTGAAAACCCCCATCCTTGACTGCTGCCAGGTCACAGGGTAAAGAGCAGCTCTTTTCTTGGTTTCTAAATTGTCTACTAGCGATAAAGTCCTAAAGACTTTATCTCCAACAAATCCACCCTCTCTTCCTTCCTACAGCCATCAGTCCAGGCCTGCATCACATCCACAAAAACACTGCATGACACGGTCCCTAACTTCCCCACACCATCCCACCTTCTAAAGGGCCCTCAGGGTGATCTTTCTAAATTTCAAGGCTACCTGAAGGGCCTGGACTCTTCTCCCCTGGCCCAGGAACTCCCCTAGAGGGCTAGTTAAACAACCTACCTCCACCCAAAATACTTGCCACTGAAAGTCCAGGGCCAGCCCAGGTACCTGAATGTCTAACCAGTTCCACAGAGATGTTAATGCTGCTGGTCTGAGGACCAGGCTTTGAGAACCTGTGGTCTATGGGATCAAATCCCAGCAAGACCCTTCTCTTTCCAAGCCACAGCCTCCAGCTGCAGCCCTGCCTGTGTTATCACTATGGCGTCTGGCCACTCCCTATCCCCCAAAGTACTATGTCCTTCCTCCCCTTCATGTCCCCACTCCTTGCCAAGCACCAGCACCTTCCTTTAAGACCCACCTATGACAGCACCTGTCCTGTGAAGCTTCCCAGGGCAGCCCGCACTAACTTCTGCTACAGCACTCACCACGCTGCATTCAAGCACTCTTCTCTATGTTCCTGGAGGCTGGGAACCGCTCTTTCCCATTCCTGGCATAAGCTCAGTGTAAACTACATATTCAGTAAACGTTTATAGGAGGCAGGCAGGAGCTACACGTAATTTCCTTGAGATACTCTAATTCAGATGAGTCATCGTATATATATTTTGTATGAGCCTATAAATCAAAACAACTAAATTCTCTCAGGAATTCTCTCAAGGAAGCACTTGTTCCTGAGGGAAAAAAGTAAAAACAAATGCTATGAAGTCCAAATTAATGCCATGTTCCTCCTCCTCAAATGTTAATACCACTGTATAATAGCCTTAGTCCCTATTCTGACTTGGGGCAGCCACAGATGAAAAAGCAGACACAACTTCTCAAGACCCAGCTATATTGACACCGGTTTTAAACTATTTAACAGTATAATCCATGATTATTAAAGCATCCACATTAAATATGACAGTGTAAGCTGTCAGTTGCCCTGAAATCCTCCTAGGGGGTCCATGAGGCCAAAATTATTTTCATGATAATACTAAGACATTATTTGCCTTCCTTATTGTGTTGACTTTTGTATCAATGGTTCAAAAGCAACAGTGGGTCAACCTCAGCTCTTTCCCACCAGTGAAGGCACTGATGCCAAAATGTACCAGTACTCCCTGGGATTCTTTAAATGTCAGCTTCAGGGCACCTGGGTGGCTCAGTAGGTTAAACATCCAACTCTTGATCTCAGCTCAGGTCTTGATCTCAGGGTAGTGAGTTCAAAGCCTGCGCTGGGCTCCGTGATGGGCATGGAGCCTACTTTATAAATAAATAAATAGGTCAGCTTCACTTAATATTCTTGATGCAGTACAAATCATTAATTTTATTAAGTCCCAACCACTAGTACATGATTGGTTAATATTCTGTGTTTCAAAAAAGTGAGCGCACAGAAGGCACCCCCACTGACCACTCAAGTACAGCCCTTGTGCTGTAGTTTAAGTTGCAAGCTGAACCAAGGTCTTCTGTGTTTGAAGAACCAAGGTCTTCTGGAATACCATGTTTACTGGGAAGAATGAATGACAAATTATGGTGATTCAGGCTTGAGTGTTTGGCTGACATCTCCTCAAACAGGAACAAAAGCAGCATATCACTTTAAGGAAAACAATGGACAGCCTTTGCCTCCTGTAATGAAAGTTGAGCTTTCAAGTTAAAATCAGAACTGTGGGGAAACCAGGATCTATCACTGTGAGCATGATAGCTCCCCAAGATTTAAAGACATTCTGCATGTGACTGGAGGTAATATTAATAAATGTGGACTGTTTACACTGTATTTCATATTTTATAGAATGTCAGTATTTAGAAAATTCATATAACTTGGTGAACTGATATTTTCCAAATGACCAATATATGATGATGCAAATTATGCTTGAGTAAAAAAGCTAACAAGGTGCAAGAAAGACAAAAGGATTTTAATCTAACCAAGTACAAAAAAAAATTCACTGATACATTCAATATTCCATATTGCTAGTAACCTTTCAGAAACTATCACTTGTTAAGTTTTGGTACAGTATCAAAAAAAAAATCCATGATTATTTGAAAAGACTATTAAAATACTTTTTCCTTTTAGGGTGCCTGGGTGGCTCAGTCAGTTAAGCGGCTGACTTTGGCTCAGGTCATGATCTCACGGTTCATGGGTTTGAGCCCTATATCAGGCCTGTGCTGACAGCTCAGAGCCTGGAGACTGCTTTGGATTCTGTGTCTTCTTCTCCTCCTGCCCCTCCCCTGTTTGCACCCTGTGTCTCTCTCTCTCAAAAATAAAGAAACATTAAAAAATTTTTTTTAATACTTAATACTTTTTCCTTTTCCAACTACATATCTGTGTGGTCAGATTTTCATCATACATTTTAACAGAAACAGCATACTGCAACAGATGTAATACAGAAGCAGATATAAGAAGCCAGCTATCTTTCATTAAGTCAGACATGAAGGATATTTTGCCAAAATGTAAAGTAACGCTACTCTTCTTGGTAAATGTTTTTAGTTTAAAAATATGGTAATTTTTCATAAGAAACATATTTTTAAACATTTAGGTTTATTTTTTTTAATGAATTCGTACTTTTTAAAATTTCTACTATGGTAAATATCAATAGCTAATATGTACACAAATAAAAGTTCTTGTAGGTCTTCAACAATCTATAAGACCATAAAGTGTCTCTAACACCAAAAAGTTTGAAAATCATTGATAATATGCTAACTATCCAAAATATAAGCCTTAAATAACTATTATACTCAAGTATGTAGGATAAATCTCCATAGTAAAAGCAGACAAAAGTGTTTTTACAAATGTTACTATGCTTTTTCACCAACTTGTAAAATTACAGAGCAATGTATGTGCTAAACAAATAAGACAGGTATTTTAAGAAAAACTGACATATTACTTTATGATGAATCAAATGAATAATGGATATAAAAATCTAACAAAAAATCACAACCATAATATTCTAATTACTGAAAGGTTGACACCCATTATAATGCTACCAGTGATAGAAACAGATGTTACACACTTCCCTTCTTTCAGTCTTCTATTCTCATGAGGATAAGAAAATGAAGATATAACTGATCAGCTTCTGAGGGAAGTTCATTGTCAAATCAACACTCCTAAGTGAAAGGGGTCTGGTATAGAAAGATTAAAAAGTGACTATTCAGGGGCGCCTTGGGTGGCCCAGTCGCTTAAGCATCCGACTTCAGCTCAGGTCATGATCTTGAGGTTCCCAAGTTTGAGCCCCACATCATGCTCTATGCTGACAGCTCAGAGCCTGGAGCCTGCTTCGGATTCTGTGTCTCCCTCTCTCTCTGCCTCTCCCCCCTCTCTGTCTCTGTCTCTGTCTCTATCTCTCAAAAATAAAAATATTTAAAAAAATTTTTTAAAAAGTGACTATTTAACTGAAAGCAGGGACTCCAACAGTATTTTACACCCATGTTCATGGCAGCATTATTAACAACAGCCAAAGGAAGCCACCTAAGTGTCTACAGATAGATGAGTGGATAAAGAAATTGTGGTATATATATGCAGTGAAATATGATTCAGCCTCTAAGAAAGAAAGAACTTTCTGTTGGACACATGCTACCATATGGATTAACCCTGAAGACACTGTGCTAAGTGAAATCATAAGGCAGTCACATAAGCAGAAATATTATAAGCACACCTTTATGAAGTACCTAGAAGAGTCAAATTCATAGAGACTGAAAGTGGAATGGTAGCTGCTAGGGGTTAGGGGTGAAGGGACTGAGAAGCTGTTATTTCGTGGATACAGCATTCCAGTTTGAGATGATGAAAAAAAATTTAGAGATGGACAGCAGTAATGGCAGCCAAATAATGGGAACATACTTACAGCCACTGAATTGTACACTTTAAAATGATTAAAATGGTAAGTTTTGTTATATATATTTTACTTTAATTTTAAAATCAAGTAAATTAAGAAAGGCAACTATTCATACAAAGTCTTTTGATAATAGTTGAAAGTAAATACTCCAAAGTTTGGCATTATGACTTTTTTTATATTTATTTATTTTTTGAGGAATAGAGAGAGACAAAGCATAAGTGCAAGAGGGGCAGAGAGCGAATAAGACACGGAATCCGAAGCAGGATCCAGGCTCGGAGCTGTCAGCACAGAGCCCGATGCAGGGCTCGAACTCACAAACTATGAGATCATAACCCAAGCCAAAGTTGGATGCTCAACCAGATGAGCCTCCCAGGTGCCCCAGGCATCATGACATTTTTTTACCTGAAACATCATAATACAGGCCCAGACCTGCTTCTGGTAATTACAGCTTATTTTCAGACTATTCCTATAAATCACTGAAAAATC